CCTCAACCAACTACCTCTCAAAATAAGCCAGGTAAGCCGTTTGTCCAGTTGAGAAGTAGCGTTACTCGCCATTTCAGTAATTCTCTATATAAATGAGACTGTTGACCAACAGATGAAGGATCTGGGCGTAGTGCTTACGTCTTTTCTCCTCGAGCAGTAACGGAGTATTCTTTTTTTGTTATTTCATGTGCTCATTCACTAGATGGTCCGTATTTAGCTCGTTTTGTCCGTTATGCCCCTTTTAACACTTTCTGGCCATCTCCTAACTTGCTATCTTCACGTCGGTGAGATATGTGTAGTGAGCGATGTACTGCATTGCTGCAATTCCATCGAAGGCAACCCATAAATGCTCCAAAATATTTTGTCACTATTTCCCTTTCACGGGTGACAACGTTAGCGCTGCAACATCAAAGCAAATGTTTCTATCGGAAGCGTTAACTAACTACTGGTGTGGAACAAGTTTTACAGTTAATCCTTTGAACTCGAAAAACTTTCATTTCGAGGAGGCGATACACCGAACATCAGACAGTTAAGTAAGCTGCATCTCTAGAAATTCCGTAAGACAAAAATACTAAAAAACAATTCAAACCTAAAACTGTGTTTGCTCAATATTTTGTCGGTTCTAACGGGTACCTGCACTTCATCCAGTCATTTTTAGATAGCAGAATGGAATGGGACGGAGCAGAATCTTGTCTTTCGTCAACAAGCGAAAGCGAAGGAAACACTGCTGCTGATGCTGACGATGAACAAAGCGACTGGGTCGGGTACGCCCCCTCCGTGACCGAGGGTGACTTTGTGAGATCACTTCTTTCCTTTTCTGTACCACTGTAGGCACAATAATTTTAAGTAGAGCGTTGCAACGAAAACCGTGCTCCATGCCGTGATGGTGTTTTTTAACGTTGTGACTTTCAAGTAGAAGAAGCTTCAAAGTACTACAAATACTGCAAAAACTTTTTGTTGAAGTGCTGCTGCTCATGATTTATTCGATAAGCACTGAAAGTGGTCTTGGTCATTCAAAAAAGTTTGTTTTCGGAAATGACCTTGGGCACAGCCGTTCTTTGTGAACCGTATCCATTCTTTTTATGACATCTTCCGTTTTCTTTTGTCGTTTTCTACTCGTTATTTTTTGAAGGATCCACTAGACGAGCGCCGAGGTCGTCGACTGCAGCAAAAGTTACAAATGTCTCAGTTGCAACGACGTCTGGAAAGATTTGCGCTTGAGGGTGGTCGAGGAGAAATGGGCATCGAGTTTCGCATTAAGGATCGACCAAATTCAATTCAGGTATTGGCAACAGAATTTTCTGGCTTCCCTGTTTCTGCGACCTTGAATGTTAATTGCATGGGTACTATATTTTCTGTGTATTATAACAAGCTTGTTAGATGGAACCTCTCTTCAGCTGACCCAATGTTTCGACTGAATCGTCGTTCTGTGAGGCCGATAGTCTCATCTTTCGAGCTTAATAGGCTGCTACCACAAGAGCGTTTTGTGAGGCTTCAAAAGTGAAAGCTTGTGTGAAATTGTCGAATTCTGAGAACACTGAGAATAACCGTTCAATCAAAACGTTAGGCCCGTTTGAGAAAAATCCCACTTAACATGTTCGAAAGGCAACAAGAACTCGTACGCTTGCAAGTGACAGCAGAATTTGCGTTTGCTTTTGTTACGAAGGCGCTGCGTGAATAGTGTTGTGCTCCGCATGCTTCTTTATTTTGTTCAAGTCCTTTTCATGGTTCTGACCAGAACTCCTCCATTTGAAAACGTTTTCCCCCTCTGGACATTGTTTTTTTTTTCTTTAGGAAGCTTTTCTAATCTATTTAATTAAAGCTTTATGGTTTCAGTTCAATCGCATGTTGTTACACTATCGCCTAGAAGTTGTTCAAACGTCAGCGTGGTACGGTAGTAATCCGAAAGAAAAACAACTCGTGCAATAAGGTCCCAGAATACGAGTAATCCGCGGAACTTTAACGCGTTGTTCGACCGGTACTTCTTTTTTTGGATTGTTTTTTGCGCTTTGCTCGAAGTGTTTTTTGAATTTTGAGGCTAATCTCATCTTTTTCCATATTCATAAAATCTCGTCATGCAAATGTATTTAAGAGGGAACTGTTCACTGTCCAAAATTTGAGCTGTCTGTATAGATCATCGTGTCCAGAAAGTCACTGGTTTTTCCCTGCCACTTCGTGCGACGTATGTTCTTGATTTCTCTGTTGAATATGATTGCTGTACTCCGAACCATCCTCAATAGCTCCTATCCGTTCCGTTCTAAATGACCGTTCCCGTTTTCACAAAATTGTATTCCGTCCTCGTCCTTTCACAGCGCTCCTCGCTTCGGTGTGGATAATGACCCATGTTGCTTGCGCATCTTTCTGCTACGGATAAAAGACGCTCCACAATGATATGTAGTTTTCTCTGACAATATCACAACCTTGTGGCCTAATTATTTGCTGTAATTGAAGTTTCTGTCTTTATTGCATACTTTCTATAGACTAAGCTCTTAGGGTCATGAATAAGTACTGTAATAGTGGTAATAATGATGCGGCATAGATAGTTCCCTGAGCTTCATTTTCGAATTCTGAATCCTTACGAAGTGAACGATGTCTGTATTGAGCTACAACTTAGTCCCGAAACTTACCGTAAAGGCAAAGAATACAGTACTTCATCAGGATTCTAGCAGTAGTCGTTGTCATTTCCCTTTCGGGTCATTATCTGGGCAATATTAGATTCTTAGACTTTTGTGAATAGGCAACAGTTGTTGTTAGCCCATCTATCGCAGTTTGGGTACCATTTTTCCGCTCCCGTTGTACATAATGTTATTTTAGCTTGTAGCTATTCGCATTTCTGTGATACATGCGCAGATTTCTTTCTTCACTGTTTTTGCTTAATGTGATTAAGTTGATTTGCCCTCTTACATTATTGACCTTGAATAAAAGTGTTTATACCTTATCGATGTACCTCAAAAAATGATTGTTTTCATCTTCTCGTTTTTGATGTAGCCTTCATGACTATAATTCTACCTTTATTAAGCAAATGCAAATGATGAGCAAATGAGAGGGCAGCGTATTTTGCCTCAGGTCGACCGGTTCCTGTGTTTTATATTCCAGCGTCGTGTGTAAACTGTGGATTTATTAATGGGGAAGAAACGCAGCGGTATCGGTGCAGAATATGTTCGTCTGACAGTCAGGATGTAAGCAATTATCAAAAATTTAGATTTTTATTTCATCACCTGTTAGGAAACCTATTGTTCCACTGGTGTAGGTTTTATCATTTATGACGCACTTGTTGCACTTTTATATTATTTGTTACATTCAGAGAGAAAAGTTTCAGTGAACTCACCGATTCTTTCCCATTTACTCAGTCTGACTTTGAGCTGTTCGTCAGCCAATCCGTCAAGCGAGTGCTTGGTACATGTGGTCCCCAAGTGCAGGTTGTTTTCTAGTTATGCTTGTAGTTTCGTCACTATGTTTCTAACTTTTTTCACCTTAGCGTGAGCTTATAAAAGAAAATATCTAATTACAGATTGGTGATTACGATGAGAACACCCGCAAAGGGAGTGTAATAGTCGCCGGTGAGGATGCACAGCTTGTGTGGGCCTCGTTAACGATAAGTGGTCAATATAATGGTCAGTATCGCAACAGAAAAATCGCTGCTCATTTCTCTTCGGTACGTTTATTGAGAGTATCATTTTATGAGCATTAATTCATTCACTAATTTTTCAGTTGACCGAATACGAATCCGGAGAAGATTTCATTCTGACGCCTGTGTTCTAACACTCGTAGCGTGGAGAAGTCTTGTTCGTATAACTTCGTATAATGTATGCTTAAGGTTACATAGTCGTGGGATATTATTGGCGCTCACGTTTCTTGTTTGTTCGTCTATGAGGACTGGGTGTGGGCAGCTCGCTGAGAAGCACGAGGGGGGGTGGGCGTGGGGGGCTGGGTCGAGCTCAGAAGGGACTACTCAGCAATAATCTGGGTGATCGGGTAGGATATCAGAGTCGGACCAGTTTTTTTAGTGGGGGTGTGTCTTGATTACCTTCCACTAGCGCTGGAGACCGGGAGGGGGGTGGCTGCGTCGGTCTGGTTGCTCACTTCAGTAGGTGAAAAGAGGAGGAGATTAGTTTGACATTTTCTTGGGGTAAGACCTCTCTGTCTGATAAGCGCGCGCATTGGACACTACTTCTTTCGTCTGTCGCCAGAATTTTATTATTGTTAGTGTGAGTGTTGGTAGGTTCTTGCATTGGTTTGTTACATTATTGATCATGTGTCTTCTGGGAGCATGTTGTAGAGCCCTATAAATACTCTCCTCACAGATCTTTTACGATTAAACGCTTCGCGGTCGTCGTCGGCAAGGGCTGGATCTAAAAGCGCTTTGATGTTTATAATCCCAGTGTGCTTTCTCTGAGGTTTCAGTAGATAATTCTTTTTTCCACACCATCAACTGCGTGTATTCGAACGTTGTTCGAACCAACATGTCGACGGGGCGCAAAGTCTATATCTGTCAACGTTTTAGGGAGTTGGTATGATAAATTGGGTGTGATTTGCTTGGAAAGAAAGCAGTTTTCCCGCTCCTCGCAGTGCTGAACTTTTTTCGTTGCGAAATTCGAGGCCCAACACTGATCAGCCTGATAAGTTGTCCCTGTTAGGGAAGGAAGGTTGGAGCTGGGTTAAATTGCTTGCCATAGCCGCTCGAAGAAAATGTCAGATAAATGGGCTACGGAGGCGGGATTCCTCGAGACATGGTCGGAAACATTGAGAGAGGAATCAACTTTTGTGCCCAATAACCTAAAGGATGTGGACTGCTAAGACACATTGAATTTTCTGGTGTATTCCTGTTTAACCAACGTTTTGGCTGGCCATGGGTACCAACGAAATCAAGATTGTGGCTAGGTTTATCTGCGTAAATTTGGGTGACGCTGTTCCCGATTTCTTTTATGGTTTGGCAGGAGGAATCGGAACATTTCCCTTCTGATAAGAAAGTGAGATTCTCAAGAAAGAAAGTGAGGAGTTTGACACTGCTTTTATGTTTTGCAGTCGATGTTACAAGTGTTCTTCCCTTATCAAAGCCGTGCGCATCACCATAAACGTGTGCCACCTTGGGTTATTGATTTGTTGCCGATTATGCACTGGAACAATTTGCAGATCTTTGAAGATCCTTTTTTGACTTCAAGCTGTCGAAAAGAAAGTTCTGTTCCTTATGAAACGCTGTAACCATTTCTGAATAACTAGACGTGGTCCTGCTCAATGTCATGCTCATGCTGCTTTTGCTTCATTTTCTCCAAGATGATTTCACGTCGTGCATTCTCTTCTCATAGTCCACTTAATGTTAAGGTCTTCAACTGGTCTAGAGCAAAATGATGGCGCCATGGTTAGCTTTAGTAATTGTTGGTGTAGTTATTATCGGACTGGTTGCTTTTCTTGTTCTTTATTTCTCACTACCGTCACGGAAGAGCTTCGATCTAAACAAGAAGCACGTCGTTGTCACTGGTAAGGCCCTACTCATTTCACTAGGATATTGTTACATTATCAAACAATCCTAGCAAAAAAAATCAATGAGTTTGTCATGATATTAAATCCTATGAAGTGCTGTGTGTGTGATTACATAACCGTATGGCGCAAGTTAAATCCTCCATTATATTCAATAATAGGCGGCTAGGCTCTCTTTAAGCGGACCAGACCAACACAGTTTTTTCAAGCTAAGAAAACAATTGCTTAGTGGAAAATTCATCACCGCACAGCCTACCTTTCCCCGAGCTGGTGTTCGCTCCCTTTCTTTTCCTAAAATCAAGTTCGAAAAAACCTAGAGTTTTCTGAATGTTTCAGAGATTGAAAAAATGTAAGCTTTTTGAATTAAAGAACCATGATTGCCCGAAAAGAGATTGCAAATTCAGGAGGATCAAAGGGTATTGGCAAGCAGTTGGCTGTTTCACTGTTATCCAGAGGATGTAATGTGTCTATCATCGCACGAAATGAAGCTGATCTAAAGTTATGGTAATCTGTAATTGGAAAGAATGAACGTTGCCCTGACAGTTCAGAAACGGAAAGTTTCTATCTAGAACTAGAATTTGGGAACCTTTTTTTAGGGCGGCTTTGAAAAGAGAACTTCAGAGCAATAGCCGATGCAACGTGCCAAAGCAGAAAGGTGCGTTGGTATCTTACCTTACGAATCTCGACGAAAGGATACGGCGGAGCGAGACTTGCTAACTTTGGGTTATAGAGCGATCGAAGGATTCGATTCTTTCGATGCAAATAAGGTCTGCTCTGTGATTCTTCAGGTGGAATCCGTGATTCGTTCAAGCTGAGGTACGAACTGGGTCCGGTGAGGACTGCGCCATCACAAACGCTTGAGGACTAGCGGTTCAGTAAGTAATCCCTATTGCTAGTTTCGATCTAGAGGCTCGCCATTGTCGGCATTTGACTGTGGTTCCTTTTTCGGTCCCTCTTCCTTCTGTCCTAAGCATTGAAAGATTTTTTTCTTCGCAAACATGGAAAGAAAATTTGCTGTACTTGTTCTTCACGAGTTTGTCCATCAACTGGATTGTCCGAAATTCTTAAATAAAGGCAATGTGCTACGTAGTCAACTGGATGTTGTACCCTGTAATGTTGTGATTTTGAGGGAGCTTTCGATGAGCTGCCGATCGAAGACTTCGAGAACCAAGTGAAGGTCAACTACCTCAGCGCCGTATGTGAATCCCGATTATGCTATTTATTACGCTTTTATCGGCCATTTACAAGTGACTTTTTAGCTTACCTCAAGTTCAGGTCTCTATGCTACTCGTTGCGTTGTATCTGGCATGAAGTCACGTCGAAGCGGTCACATTAGCTTTGTGTCTTCAGCTGCTGGTCAGTGCGCTATCTATGGCTATACGGCTTATGCACCAACGAAGTTCGCTCTCAGGTAAAGAGAGGAAGATATTTTCTATAATCAATAGAGATGGACTTAATTGGTTGAAGCGATGGATTCCTTTTGTCACGTAGGGGCATTTGCCAAGGCCCACTCTTTACCTCAACACCTCAAGGCGGCTTCTCTTTGAAAGCAAGTCAACAAGATGAAGTCAGTTGTTACAGAGGTCTTGCTGATGCTCTTCAAATGGAACTATCTCCTTACAATGTCAACGTGTCAGTTCTTTACCCGCCAAATACGGATACTGAGGGATATAAGGTGCTGTTCATGAGGTTTCCGTAAATTACACTATCATGAAAACATTGATATTACAGGTAGAATATAGCGAAGGCTCCTGAAGATCCGAGTCTTTGTATTGGTTCGAGACGCCTGGACTTCTTCTCTCCAAAAGCAGGTAGTCTGACGCCTCATGTTGTCCTAGCATTGAAAGCTGGGTTACTACGCACACCTGTTACGGCGTTCTTCGATGGATGGATGGTTAAGTGAGTCGATACACTTTTGGTCCAAAGCAGTCGCACTTTCCTCACAGTGCTAAGATTTTTTATCGTCTTTCTTATCCCAGCGATAGCTCCCCAGAGACGTTTTTGTGTGATGATGACACGGCACGCGGTTCGTGAATCGCACAGGTTGGGCTTTTGCCCTTTCGAAGATGAAGAAAAGTGCGGTAACGGTCAGGAAGCCCATGTTGCGATAGGCCCAGCGGGAACAGCGGTTTCTCGGCGCGCATCGCGCGCACGTGATGCGTCATTAACCACACACCTACCAGATTATATAGTTCAGGAAGCATAGGCATGGTTTACCAGTTATATCCATTTCACTTTGTTGTTGGGTGTGCACTACATTGCGCCTCTACGTCCACGTCGAAGTCTTTTTATGCGCTACTTCACTCAAACGCGTCGAGAAACGCCACGTGCATGACGAAGGGAGTAAAGAAGTTTTCTGACGAAGACTAAGCCTAGGAAAGTGACGAACCCACCTAAAATCCCCTCTTCTTCCAAGGTCTACGCCCTGCTACTGAAGCTTCATGAAGGCTATTTGGATCACAATCTCCAAAAATAGAGTGGTAGAATTGATAACAAAGAAAGGGAATTAGGAACATGGCCGTGCTTTTCTATTCATGAATTGGTAAATGTAGTGAGATTTGAATGATGTTATTATTCGACGACAATTCAAGGAAACTCATCGTCGACGCGCTTCGTGAGTCCTCTAGTAGTCATGTTCTGTGAAAACACTACTAGAAATCTCCCAATACGAAGAAAAGCGACCGTAAAGAATTTTTGAGTTGCTCCAAGATCCTTAACAGGTTTTTCATTTGTATTCATACGAACGCATTCGCTTCACACGGATTCTGCTCAGTTTCTTGGCCATATTTCCTGATCTAAATCTTTCCATATGTATTATCGAATTCGATAAACAGTATATCAATTAACGGTAACCGAGCCGTTGAAGGAATCATGACGGAATTGGGAAAATATGCCGATATACACGCACAACAGGGTGTTATCAGTGTGCTAAGTTTGCTTTTTTCAAGTAACTAAAAACCGTTAAATATTCAATGAAAAATCAAACGATGCGTTTCGCACCATAATACGCTCGTGACACCAATGCACTCTGCTTTTCGGAAATTTCTTCAATACCATCATAATCATGCTCATGGCGGTTTCCCAACGCGTTTGAGTGAGTACTCGACGTGGTATAAGGCGCAATGTGTGTGTTGCGGGTGTCTTGAGACTTGGGCTATGTTGGGCCCTTTTAAAATGCACCTTGCGGTGGTTCAGTGGAATTTGTGAAGAGTGAGAGAACAGGAAAGATAGTGCACGTGTTTATCGAGCAGCACGTAGGTGAAACAGCAAAGTTATATTGGCTTTTTGCCTCTTAATACAGGTGGTCCGCCCCCGCCAGACGTAAGGCCGAGAGGGGATCATCGCCTGCGATGCGCAGGCGATGATACTCCGGCGGCGGGGGGCGAACGAACAAATTGGACCAATGGTCCCAACAATGCATTATGAAATAATATCTCAATTGTCGTCGTCGAGCGTTGATGAGAACGAGCGCTCGAAGTACAGCTCGTTGATTTGGGACTGCTCGATCGGACTGCTCGTTGAAAAGACTGGATAGGGCTGCTCGTTGAAATGTAGACTGGATAGGGCTGCTCGTTGAAATGTAGACTGGATAGTGCTGCTCGTTGAAATGTAGACTGGATAGTGCTGCTCGTTGACGATGCAGCCCGGAGTGTCATCGCCTGCGTATCTCTGGCGATGACTCCCTCACGACCTCACGCCTGGCGGGGGCGTGCCCATGCTGTATAAGCCTTGAACAGATACTACTTCCCGGCCCGATGCACCAAGCTGTTGCGGGTGTCTTGAGACTTGGGCTATGTTGGGCCCTTTTAAAATGCACCTTGCGGTGGTTCAGTGGAATTTGTGAAGAGTGAGAGAACAGGAAAGATAGTGCACGTGTTTATCGAGCAGCACGTAGGTAAACAGCAAAGTTATAATGGCTTTTTGCCTCTTAATACAGGTGGTCCGCCCCCGCCAGACGTAAGGCCGAGAGGGGATCATCGCCTGCGATGCGCAGGCGATGATAGGTGCCACCAACAACAGTGTGGTGGATTACTGAACCATCCTTATGTTCCTGAAGCTTATAATCTTGGTCATTAACCACTGCGCGACGGTCAGCAAAAAACCGCTTTCGCTGCATCGTCATACGGGACCTCCTGTCCGATATGCAAAAGAGATTTTGCAAATGAAATGTTGGGCATCCTCTTAACAACGATATGAATTGAATTTGTTCCATTTAGTTATTTTGCAGATATCCTTACGGCTGGCGCTTCTCCAGAAAGAAGCATGATGGATGCTCTAACACAGGTAAATTAGATAGAGTTAATCGATCATTTGCTTCTGTTTATGAGTTTTATGTTAATGACGTATTCAGATCATGCTGGGTGGAATATTTCGAGGAATCATACTGGTATACTTGGGATACTTTAATGGGATCGTGAAGAAGTGCTATCGAAGAAGATTGCTCGCGAAGGAGTCCTGTAAGGCTGATTATTTGAAAGTAAATTAATAAGTTTAAGCGCCCTCAGTGTGCGCTATAGTGCGGAATATGTGACACAACTACCATGTCATAAATCGTGGTGCTAGATGCAGGCGGCCTGTGCCAACCGGCTTAGCCGTCAGTGGGAATGCACAGTAGTTGAAGATTTTTTCGATTACTAGGGGGCGTTTACTCGAGAAGACGTTTCTCGTTACCGGCTAGCCATGTTTTGCGGCGACTGCATCATAGAAATAACAATTTTGCTGCATTTTTCCGCCACCATCCAAATATCATTTGAGGCGATTTTTCATTGCTTTATAGCAGAACAGCAAGCATCAAGCACGATGGGAAAGGACTCTGAGATTGCTACAAAGAAATCTATTTAGAAAAATCTTGTTGTTCACAGCACAGTTTTGTTGATTTTTTTCTCATTCAGTGTTGTTACTAGTCTTTTCCTGCAAGGGAATCTACTTGTTTCTTTGTTTCTACTTACCTATATGATGATTTCATAGGTTTCCGTTGTTGTTAAGTTCATAATTTATTAATTATTATTGGTTTATATTTGAATGATCTTCGTCTCAGGCTGGACAATAAAGTTGTTCCTGAAAGATGCTTTATGTTCGAATGTAGCTCTACTGATGGCGTGTTTTCGGCTTTAGTGTTCAGAGTATACGAAATTCGCCCGTGATTGAAGGCAAGCCTCGGGAAAAATAGGTGTTGAAGAGCGTTCACTAATTAAGCTAGAAGTGGGCAGTGGTTTGGAAAAGAAAAAGAAAGCAAGAGGAACCCGCAGTCAAGCTACAAGTAAGAACTCAGTTTCAGCCACATTTCCTCCTATGCGATGGGATATTGGGGGGGGGGGAGTGTTGGACGAGTTTTAGCGGATGTAGCCGCAAGTTGCTCCAGTTGGCCAGTGATGGTGAAAGCGCGCAATGCATTCGGTGGGCTGCAACTGCATCCGGCGCTTGTTCGAGCGGCAGTCAGTCACGTGGCACCAACAGCGGAGGGTGGGGCTTGCTGATGAAGGTGTGGATTGCGGGTTGAACGAGCTTGTGGCGCCTTTGTCACGCACTTTCATGTCGCAAAAGGGGTGACATCAACGGTCTGCCTGTTTACTAGGCTGGTCGACGGAAACTATTACTCGAGAGTAACTACAGACGCGTTGGCTTCAATCTTTCTGACCTTGCGCTCTCTGGCGGGTTCCCTCTCTTCTCCCCAGCTTAGCTTAGCATCACCGTTCTCCAATTGTCCTGTTGGCCCTCAGCTATCGCGGCGGGACGCGATTGAGGGAAAAATCGCCCAGCTCGCGTAAACCCTACTAGGCTCGGGGGTGAAGCTGGTGAGTGTGCCTAATCTCGGCGCGTGGCTTTAATTGTCGGACTATTAAGATTCTGGACAAGGAGGTCAACGTAGTTGCGGTGAAAACGGCGGGGGGCCGCCCAGCTCTATCTAACTCTACTATCACACTTGCTCCAAAAGTTGTGAAATGGGGGAATGAAACCTTTTCATTGAGAGTGTAGATTTCGACTGTTTCGAGCGGGGTTTCGGCAAATCTGACCCACGGATAAACCGCGCTGCAACTGAATGCTTCGCTGTGCACATTGATGGAACTCGCTCATTCACATCAAATCAAACTTAAGAGAGGGCCGCGGCCGGGGCGCCGCGCCAGTGTTCCTCGTGTCGCTGATGTCATCGATGTGATAGGCTATTCTAAAGGTTTTTTGATAATTGAAATGCGCTTGTCAATTTTCACTAAGGACAAGCAATAACATCGGAAATCAGAACGTAAAAGTTAACTTCAAGAATGAATATAAAAAAATTAAGGGCGAAACTGTTGGCTCAGGGGGGGGCAGCCGCGCCCGTTCTTGTTTCTTGTTGGGGTTATTGTGGTTCTGGTCCTTTTTGTCGGCGCGTGTCGGCGTTGCGGCAACAGGAAACTTCGTGAGCCAGGGGGAATGTAGCCAATTCAGGGGTGGGGGTGAGGGCAGTCACTTGACATGCGTGAGAAGCTGGAATTGTTCCGTGAGAAGCTGGAATGTTCGAGTTACACTACATCGCTGAGCCGCGCGCGGCGCTGCCCCCCCCCCCCCCGCCACATTGCGCCTTAATTAAAAATACTTACATTGAATAACATCTCAGGAGAGTAGCTCAGAAGGGCTCATACCTTTGGGATGTGTGCTTTGCCTTGACCCAGCTCTTCACTAATTCGTTATTTCGAAACAAAGGCTACGTATTGGAATCAGCGTCGAAAATACTACAGAACGGTATCCATCTTGAATTACAATCCTTGAAATAGAATTTCCCTTGATCTTCACTACCACGCGACTGCGTATACGGTAAGCCGCCTTGACCTACCGCTATCGATGCCTGCCGTCGAAAAAGACGCGTCCCGCCGAAATCGAGGGGCCGGCGAAAATCGAGTGGCTATGGACATTGCGAAGAAACGCAGGCGGCTGAACGAGGGATCGGCGACAACCATCGACCGTAGATCACAATGAGCTGCCGAAATGATCTAACTATTAAAAGTTAAGATCAAGGGAAAATTCAGATCAAAGTTCCGCGCACAAAACGTACATCATTGGATAGAGTTTTCGACGCTGATTTCAGAGACCTATAGAGCACATTGTCGAATTTCGATTAATTTCCAGCCGTTCTAATACTGACGCCATGTGGTGTTTGCGTTATAATGGAGCAATAGTGCGAGGAATCTGATATGGAAATATAATTGCTATGCAGATCACTTTGGCTCCGAGCAAGTAGGTGGTTGACTGGTGCAGACGCGCGCGTGCGCGTGCGCCTAGTAACTACCATTAGTTACACGATGTAACGTAACATGCAAGAGTCCAATGCTGCTCGCGAGTCGGCACAGTACTGTAGCTCATATGAATCTACACTTAATAGGCCAAAAGTGCCGCGTCCCCTGCACTTATAGGCTAAGCAGTACTAAAAAGTTTGAAAGGGCCTTCCATATTTTGGGTGCTATACAAGTAGGGTGGGCACGCCGCATTTTTTGAACAGAAATGTATGTCAGTGGGACTGCTGCTCGCTACTATACTGTCACGAGAATCGGGGAGTTCGTGAGCCAGGGGGAGTGTAGCCAATCTAGGGGGTGGGGGTGAGGGCAGTCACTTGACATGCGTGAAAAGCTGGGCGTGCCCACCCCACTTGTATAGCACCCATATTTGAAATCAGCGTCTAAAACCTTATCCAATGATGTACACTTTGTACGGGAAACTTCAATCTGAATTTCTGTTTGATCTTGGCCTTCAATAGTGCGATAGTTCTGATAGCTCATTTTGATCTCCGGTCGATGGTTGTCGCCGACCCCTCGTTTGGCAGTCTGCTTTCTCCGCAACGTCCATAGTCCCTCTCTTTTTGCCGGTCCCTCGATTTCGGCGGGACGCGTCTTTTTTCGCCCAGCAGGCATCGACGGCGGTAGATCAAGGCGGTTACCGTATACGCGGTCGCGTAGCAGTGAAGATCAAGGGAAATCCCATTTCAAAGTTTGTAAGTCAAAATGTATGTTATCCTATAGTATTCTCGACGCTGATTCCAAATACGGAGTTCTTGTTTTGAAATAACGAATTTGTGAGTCTGTTCCGAGCAGCAGAAAGTATGAAGCGGTGAAGCCCCTCAGAGAGCACAATCAATACGAACTTATTCGGTCCGAAGAAAGGTCTTGACGGATATATTATATTTCCGATTTTCTACTATTTATTTCAACGCCAGACGCCTGCACAGCAATTCCAAGAAGAGTCCGAAAATTTCCCTTCGTAACTTCATTGATAATGGTAATGTCCTGATCACGTATATAGCATTGGTTTTAACGTTGGAGCTGCTTGGCGCCGGTTTCGCGCTGATTTAGTCCCAAATCGCTTCAGATTGGAGCCAGATGGCGGCGCTGTTGAAAGGGTGGGTCATGCATATTAGGACGTCAAAGACCCCCCCCCCCCCCACCTTCGCTTTCAGCGAATTTGGTGGGATTAATGCGTAGCTGCAAATTGGCGCAAACTGGCGCCAAATGTAGTAAAATCGAAAGCGAGTGTGATATTCATACTGTAGAGCACAGAATTACCCCTTTAGCTGATGCTTAGGGATTTTTTTCCATTCGGGAGCATTGAGGTTGTAGTGGTGCTATTGAGCCCTGCTTTTGTTTTCTGTTGCTCCGGCAAAAAATAACTCACAATCAGTCCAGCCAGTGACTGCAGTCGTCAATATTGGATGCACCGCACTGAGCAATATCTGTGAACCCCAAGTGATGTTTCTTAGCCAGACTAAAACACGTCCCTGCATAGGCGCTCTGTTTGCCGCGGCTGAGCCTGCCGCAGTTGCAGACTAAGCAACACAAGTGACGTCAGAGCGCCTGAATTTTCAAAAGGCACAAGTGGTATCGATTTTTCAAGACCACTTGTGGAACGGAGTCTGCCATTACGCGGGATCCGGTGGCCAGAAACAGAGTTTATATGATTTGAGCTATTTAACTTGAGACTAATCCGAATTCTCGCCCATTGCTCGGCTTCAGAGAGCAAAGGGCGAGCAACGTTGGCAATTGGCATGAAACATCGGCGGTAATCCATGGATGATCCCGTATCCGCCCACTTCGGTTCAATCAAAACGCTATACTCGCTACCCATTCCTAATCTTCGTTCTCACGTGTGCAGACTCCTCTATGAACTTTTCCAATCTCGTACCAGGAAATCCGTTCAGCGCTTTTCAAATGGCCTATTGCATGCTGTAGGGGCACATGTGTCAAGCATTAAGCTGACAATAATTTTCCAAGCGGCCCTGGGCCTTACCAAAAGAGGACAGAAGTAGGGAGTGGAACTTCTGCATTTTTCAAAAACTAGCATAATTTAGTTTTGAAATAGAAGTAATAAAAGAAAAGATAAAGCATTTGCCGTTGATCAATCCTTTTTGGGATGCGGCACGCATTCTACTTCCATTTGTACATTCGTAGTGGCGTTTGAATGCGATGTGGCCTATACAATGACTTGCGGGGCCAGCCGATGTACAAGTCAGTGTTTTTATCCTCCCAGACAAGTCTGGTACCAATTAACCGACCCGGAGGGATGGAAGGCTTGGTTGGCCCGGGCGACTCACGACCCAGGATTTGATCCCGGACCGCTCGCGTGGTAAGCGCGCCACTTGTCACTACACCACTTCCGCCCTCAAAGCACGTGTATAAAGAGGGATTTGTTCTGTGATACGTCAGCTCTACAAGGCCCGAAACAGGTAATTCAGCGAACCGAAAGCCATTGTTTCTCCACAACATTTCTGGCATCTCAGAGCAACTATAAGAATTGGTTATTCATTTATGCTCCGTATGTTCGACGTATGCTCCAGTAATAGCTCAATCTTGGCGCGGTTGACGGGGTGGGAGCATCGGCTATGTCATCACTTGCCCCAGGTCTATACGAGGCGGGTGATTAGATAGCAGAGAAAGCGTAGTGTTGGAAAGGACACAAAGATTAGAGTCGCATCATTGCGCAAACCGACGGGCAGGAAGGGGCTCAATTCTCGGATTCAGGCCCTTTTAATTGATCTATTTTGTGATGTTTTCTTCCGGATTCTCTACGAGCTTCATAACCAACTGTTAGAGCACAGAAATCATTTAGTGTTTAGTCACGCGGGGAGGGGGGGGGGGAGGAAGGGCTATTTGGGGAACGGGGTATTTTTGTGTGCACCCTCAAGCTTATCGGTGGATTGTGCATAATATTTTTTCTTTTTGTCCCCATTCGTGATTGAGGTAGGACGTTGTTGGAATGGGATGCCGTCGGAACCATGAAACTTTCCAAAATGTGATTTTTCGAGAGGGAAATGACTTTTTTAAGCTTCCATGTATACAGCGACTATGCAAAGCTACATTGTCGAGTCGTTTTCCATGTGCGACTTTCTCAATGAATCTTGGCATGAGTCGTAGAGAATATGTCAGTATAGTATTGTGAATAAGCTCCAACCAAGATTGATAACAACTTTTATTTGGCTTACGTTTCGGCGCTTTCGCCTTCTTCAGAGCCTGGAAAGAGGAAAAAAAGCCCCATTTACGAAACTACCCGTCCAAATACTATTTCAACCTACAAGAATCGCTCAGCAGGGGTAAACTACTAGGGCGACGTCGTGGGACAGAAAAAGACAACTAACCTTTAGAAAAGTCGACCAATGAGGTCCACCTGCCACCCTGAGCTGACAGTAATGCGGCTTAAATAGGTGAAGCCCCATGAGCCCCAAGATCACTTGCTTAAGGACCCTCCTGAGAGTGTACAAGTCTGTGTTATTCCCTAAATGAGCCTGGTACCGACTGGCCAAAACCGAAGGGATGAGTCTTTCGCTTGAAATGGGCAGAAACCAACTGGGATTGAACCATTTGGACCGTGTGCGTGGTATGTGGCGCCATTAGCTACTGAACCGCTTTCTTAACAATATTTGATTGATCGTTCATATTTTTCGTGCAGGCTTATAATTACAGGGACTGTTTTGTCTTGATTCATGTCAATTGACAGATTCACTTCACGTTCTGGATAATATATGGCACACTAGACTCGCTAGACGTTTATACTTTCTCAGCAATCGATCAATGAAACGTGCTGTTACATGTCTTCTGGCGTTCGTGACAGTTTTCTGCATTTATAACTACATGCACATTACCATACGGTCATCAAGACACGGTGGAAGTACCGCTAGGATGAGAGCCATACCAACAATAACCCACAGGAATAAATTCTGCATCGCGTACAATATAACCAAAGCATCAAAAAGGTGAGAAATGTGACAGTTTGCATTTGTTTTTCCCGAATCCTGTAAATCCTGAGAACGGCTAACTTTTTGTATTAGGAATCGGGTCTCATCCAGTAAGGGGGGGGGCTGCGATAAGTTCTGCCGCCTACAGAAATTGCGGTTTGCAGGGTAGGGAAGTTTCCGGATGCGTGAACCATTTCGCTTCCGCTTTACATCCAGTCCAGAGCGTCCTCCCTCGCAAAAAATTACACTACTACAGGCGATATGAACTGTTACACGACACGTTCGTCCGCTTACTAGAAGAGACCCAGGATTTTTGGGCCTGGTATAACACACGCCAGTTTGCGGCACCGTGACGATAGCGGCTTCATACGCGCTTATTTACGAGGCGAAATACTGCAGCAGGAACCTCGTGTAGGAGTACCCTCTGTTTCAGAAAAACGAAAGCGCGTCGAGTGCAGACCACACACCACAAGTGACGACGCCCCACAAAATGTAATGTTTTCTGCCAATGAAATGATTAGCCTGTTGCAGTTGTATTCTATCAGTTGTCACTAATTACAACTATCATTTACCAAAATCAGCTATCACTATGAATCACTAGTTACCAGATTTACTTGGAGGCCGTCGTCACTTGTGGTGTGTGGTCTGCACTTCACACGCTCCTGGTTTTGCGAAACAGAGAGTAACCATAAGGCAGTGTTCAGTGTTTGCGGCCTAAGGGAACAGGCGAATAGGCGAACTGCCTAAAACTCTCTGAAGGCAGAAGGAATCAAATCGAGATGTATGCAATCCTGTTCCCTTGCTCGCCTAGTTGTCCATTAGTCTGTTCGCCCAATTATTCATTCTCTTCGCTTATTCCCGTAGTGGACAGCACTGAATAATACCTGAAAATTGTCGCACAGGATCCGTTTTTGACCGCCGCCGCACCCGTATTCTGAGCTTTCATAGACGACATTATCTCCCCATTATGAAAACCACCTTAGGGTCGTATTTCTGTAAGCATCGTGAGGGAAATTCATCGATTTTTCAGTTTCCATGAGGGCGGTATGGAACCGGTCACATTGGCAACACACAGTACCTCTCAGTATTTGAATATTCTGGACCAGTTGGTGAGATCAGCCTTCAGAAAATTTTCAAGCCTTTTTTTCAATTTTCACCCTTCAAAAAAAACGTCAGACCTCAGAAAATTTTTGAAGGTGTTGATGGCCTCAGTGTTACTGTATGGAGAACAAAACTATATCTTGGCTATACATCCGATCACACAGCTTAACATAAGAAGGGAATTCCCAGAGTACAGCGCATGAAAGCAGGAGTTTCAATCGGATTCTCATAAAGGAGGATTCCACGATAAGAATGAAGGTTGAAGAAGGGGTAAATTACCTAGTGGAGAGACAGGCGGACCCCCTAGGGTGCGGACCAACACGCAATTTGCATCGAAGGATATGCCCCGGCGATCTAGCATGGCCTTCTTTTGGCGCAGTTGGCTCGGAACGCCCACCTACATATCTAATCACTCGCCGCAGGTCTATACGCGGCGAGGATTAGATAGCAGAGAGAGAGAGAACTATTAGCGCTTGAAGAGGGCACAGAAAAGAGTCGCATCAATGTGGAAATTCAACGGGCAAGGAAGTGATTCCTTCTCTCGGGCCGTTTCTCATGGTTTCTTCTTCATCCTGCCTTTCGACTATGCCTCACGCCTACCCTTATTTCAATAAGCTACCTTTTCACGTGTAAAATCTGCCTTTGTGAGCGATTGGAAATAGTCAATTTTTGTCAAAGTGAACAGGGACGAAACATAGGGAACATGGTCCTTGAACCCAGAGATAGGAAATCGCAGAATTTTTCTTAAACTAGCCTAGTTGTTCTTCCCCCGGATGGAAATCAAGCGTATTTATATTGGTATTGGACACCTGGTATGGTGAACACTTATGGCAATAGCTGCACAGATGTGCAGCCAAGCATGTGGATTAGGAAAAACAATTCGTGACGGATTGAAATAACCACTGGCATGAAATTCACTCTCTATGTGGCGCAAAGGCGAATTCAAGGCGCTGCGATGACATCGCATAGTAAAAGTCCTAGTGAAGGTCTTAAAGTAGTTAAGCTCACTGTTAGCTTTGTAACTCTCTAGATACCATTTGATCATTAAATTGTGTATTGATAGTGAGAGATATCCTGGCGGCTTACCGGATCAACATTCAAATGGTGCCCGGGTAGCGTAACTGGTAGCGCACTTGCCCGGAAAGCGAGAGGTGCGGGTTCTAGTCCCGCCTGGGGCGAAAGTTTTGTTCACAACCCAGCATTCTTGTGAAACATTCGCAAGGCGAACTGCGGCGTTAAAACAGCAGTTAACAAACAAAAACAAGTCCGATATGAGGCATTCGCATCCCCTAGTGATGTGTCTCTTACTTCTGCTTCGCGCCTCTTTTCCAGATTTGCCTCGTGCACATTGGTCGACGTCGGAAACGAATCAACTGTATTGCTCATGTGCCAGAAGCACATGCAATAAATGAATAAGTAAATAAAATCGCCTATTTTCAAGACCTAAAAGTGAGTTCAAAGCTTTAGTTCCATCTCACTGAACTAACACAATGGTGGACGTCAAGCGAGCTATTCAGGTGTAGACAAACGACGATTTTCACCCTGACGTCGACCAATAAAGTGTTCAATCATAATAAACCAAGGCACATTCGGCTTGCCTGGGTTTTAAGAAGACCGGGCATGGCATATTCTCATTAGGGTTCGAATGAATTTCATGTGAATTCGTTTGTAACTCAATCAAATTATCTAATGATTTTGGTTTTATATCGCAGTTACAATCATGGGAAAGTCCTGTGTCACTTGCACTCTACATCGATCGTGGTTCATCAGGAGCTTTACAATATCTCTTGGACTTGCATCGATGTAATCGAACCATCGCAGAGAAGGTATGTTGGTTTGAAATCATAGCCACACGTTCACATGGACATTAAAACCTTTATGGAAATGATGACGATTGAAGTTCTTGGACACCAGTGGGAAAAGTGCTGCACACCTGGTGGCTTTATAACAAGCTCGTAGCTACAAGGAAGGCTAGGTGTTCTGTTTAATAAAGTTCCAAAGAGTAGTCACATGGTGGTGCACCTTGCGTTGGAATACGCCACGCATTCAACTTCAGCCTCAACTTTATGGGTGTGTGCATACGTGCACTGCTGAAACCTAACACTAAAAAGCTGCGAAAGACGCAAATCCGCGCATTTTCTGTCTTTGTGTTATCCTCGGGTGCTTATGTGGGTAGGGGGATATTCAAGAGAGTGAGACAGTCACAGCACTTGGGACTAAGCCTTAGCGAGGACTAAGAGAGGACGTGAGCAATTTTCTTTCTCCCCCTCCTCTCCTGGGCTTTTCCCAGTGTCATATCATCTCGCTGTTCTGATGTCCTGTTTTGAATGTTTCCCTGCCCCCAAGGCCATGAGCGCCATCACCCGACTCCCCACGAAAATTATTTCATTAGATTCAGAGCGTTGCTCGCTATAGTTATACCTGAGAGGAACAGCTCCCATCGAAAATATTAAGCAATTCTTTGCTCTTCTTCTGTATTCTGAAACAAAGCGAATGCTAGACTATTACGCTCAGGTACCCGACGTACGTCGCGCAAAAAAGGCAGAGTTCCGCGGACGAGTCGAGCGCGTACTGTAATGATTTCGCGTCAATTTGCATAGGATGT